GGACTCTCTGTGCTCATGGGTGACCTGTTTGTTTTTCCACGATAACTTTGAGGGGGGAATTGGATAGGCCAGGAGTTGCCTGGCGCTCTGGAACTGTTGGTGCGCTTGGGCCCCCAGAAAGAGTCTGCTGATCCGCAAATCCCAGTTCACAGACCCGTGGGTGTTGCCTTTGTTTCTGTCTGAAAGAAGCCTGCTTTCAGGTCCTGCTTTTTTGGTGTTCAGTGGGCGGGCGTGTTGACCATGCGGATCAGTTCTGCGCCCCGTTGTCCTTGACTTGGCCATGTCATGTAGCAGAGTCATCGAGACAGCAGGCATCACAGAGGACAGTGCGCTGGAGGTGCGCAGGATCTGTAATACCCATTGCCTGTCATTCCAGAACTAATGGTTTTATTCTCCTTTATTTATCCTTCACCTCAAGCGGTATTCTTAGTCTCTTAACATAATTTCATCGTTATCACTGAGCAGAATTAACCGAACAGCTCTGGTGTAGATCAGAAGGAATTCTGCGTCAGTATTGATACTGGTTTGATCATTCTCCCTCAGTAAAGTAGAGGTGTGTGATCTGTCTTTAGAGGGGATTCTGTTAGTGTTTCTCTTGATAAAGTGCTTTTTAAATCAGATGTAGGTTTTCTGACAGTGGTAATCAGTTCTATACAAAATACACGCATTTGCTTACCATACAGTCCTGACTGAAATAGCACATTCACCTTGATAGGTAATTTTCCTTGACACTTCCTTACTTTTTCATTTAGTAGTAGATAATGTCTATGATTCACACTGTAATATCAAATGATTTTGTAATTTATTTTCTCATATCTTGTTTGAAGGGCTTTTTATCAGGCATGGAAGTCAGACTGCCATTTCAAAGCCATTTCATGCTCTTGTGTAAATTGTACCCATGACAGAACAGTAAATACAGTGCATATACCTTACACTTCTACAGTTGTTTTATGAAATTGAGGAGCAGAGTTTTGCTGTGCTGGAAAAACGTCTTGAATATCATGAAGGAACAAAAGTGTATGACTATTTCGGGTGCTTTAATTCCACATTAACCTGCGTAAATTTACATGAAATTTCCGGCAGCTGCTGTAGGAATTTACAAGACTCCTGTAAGAGTTTGTAAAGCCTGGAATAGTTCAACAAAGAATAGGAGTTTAACTTACAAAAGCAAAAGGCTTATTACTTTCGTTTATGATAGCTACATGTTTTGGAAATCGCTGGTTTGTGATTTTTATATCTTTTCATTTTAATTTGGATTGTGATACCCCACATGTCCTGACTGTGTGGTGGAACCTGGAAATTGCGCACATCAAGCCCCTCACAGTAAAAAGCTCAAGCTGGAACTTAATTAACAGGGAACGGCAGCAAGAAGCTTCTCCTTTCAGTCTGCCGAGTGTGCGGACCTCTGCACTGGGGGCGCAGTCACCTGTAATGATTGTTGTTGACACATTTGTCGGTGCCTCAGCCGCGCAGTCTGTACCGCCAGAAGTTTTGCATGGTAATTCTCCGCGACCAGCTGTTCGGCAGCTGCTGTTGTTTGATCAGTCCCACTTCTAAGGGTTAAACGTGTCTGCGCGTCCTCATTTCATCTCGCCCCTTCTCCTGCGGAGCTGCGGTGTGTGTGGCTCTCGAAGCTCCGGCGCCGATCGGCTCGGTAACAGCAGCCCCCCTTGAAAGCGGAAGGAGGAATGCTGAAAAATACCGCGAGTAAAGATCTCGGAGGCTCCTATGAATCTAGACCGGCCCTTTTTCTCTCCGGTGTGTGCTGCCAGCCTGCCGGGAAGCGTGCGTGAGTGCGCGGCGGAGAGGGTGGCCGTACGCTTGACGCCTGAGGCGCCACAGGGAGCGTGGCAGAGTCCCTGGGGCCCCATGGGTGGGGTTTGGGGAATTTGGGACGCAGCAGCAGCACATGACCCAGCAACCCACAGAGTGGGGACAGACAGCGGGAACTCATAATACACCACAACATGAATTTCCTTTCTACAGGGGCCGAACAGGAGCAGCGTCGATTAACCTAACGTGCACTTTATTCCTTCTTCACAGGAGAGTACATCAAGAACTGGAGGCCGCGATACTTCCTGCTGAAGACAGATGGCTCGTTCATCGGCTACAAGGAGAAGCCGCAAGACGCAGACCTGCCTTACCCTCTGAATAATTTTTCTGTGGCAAGTAAGTCAGGCCCCTTTCAGCCTCTAGTCTTCAGCTGCGCCGTCTCTTCATCTTCTCGGAAGAGACCCACGTCCTTGTCACCCCAGCCCCGGCCTCAGGCCCTTCCGGCTTCTGTGGGGTGGCCTGAAAAGTGTTTCTTGTGTCCTTTTCAATGGCCAAGTCACTTCTGTTAATTGGCAGCCCCGTTCAAGGCAGCTGAGATGGGAACTCACTCCCTGAATACTGAAACAGCCTTGTGGAGAAGGTTCCCCGCTGTGCATCAGTGCAGTGGTGAATGAATCGGGTCTCTCAGATCTGGCAGCAGACTGGCACAGCGGTCAGGTTACTGGACCGAAAACGGACGGTTGTGGGCTCAGATCCCAGGTGAGATCCTGCTGTTGTGCCCTTTAGCCAGGACCTTCACCAAGATTGCCTCAGTAAGGAGAATATAGAGCCACAGCATCCCTTTCTACATATATGCACACGTGAATATAAACATATTCAGTTTTATTTCTTAATAAATAGCTCCAACTGCACACACGGGTGCAAATGTCTGGCAGCCAGAAGGATTAGTAGTAATT